CAGGCCTCTACTGCAACTGTCTTCATTTCCTGCTTGTTCTTTGGGTATTTTCCCTTCAGTTTTGTCTGCAGCAAGTGAAATGCATGCTCAATCGGATTCAGGTCAGGTGATTGACTTGGCCATTGCATAACATTCCACTTCTTTCCCTTAAAAAACTCTTTGGTTGCTTTTGCAGTATGCTTTGGGTCATTGTCCATCTGCACTGTGAAGCGGCGTCCAATGAGTTCTGAATCATTTGGCTGAATATGAGCAGATAATATTGCCCGAAACACTTCAGAATTCATCCTGCTGCTTTTGTCAGCAGTCACATCATCAATAAATACAAGAGAACCAGTTCCATTGGCAGCCATACATGCCCACGCCATGACACTACCACCACCATGCTTCACTGATGAGGTGGTATGCTTAGGATCATGAGCAGTTCCTTTCCTTCTCCATACTCTTCTCTTCCCATCACTCTGGTACAAGTTGATCTTGGTCTCATCTGTCCATAGGATGTTGTTCCAGAACTGTGAAGGCTTTTTTAGATGTCGTTTGGCAAACTTTAATCTGGCCTTCCTGTTTTTGAGGCTCACCAATGGTTTACATCTTGTGGTGAACCCTCTGTATTCACTCTGGTGAAGTCTTCTCTTGATTGTTGACTTTGACACACATACACCTACCTCCTGGAGAGTGTTCTTGATCTGGCCAACTGTTGTGAAGGGTGTTTTTCTTCAACAGGGAAAGAATTCTTCGGTCATCCACCACAGTTGTTTTCCGTGGTCTTCCGGGTCTTTTGGTATTGCTGAGCTCACCGGTGCGTTCCTTCTTTTTAAGAATGTTCCAAACAGTTGTTTTGGCCACACCTAATGTTTTTGCTATCTCTCTGATGGGTTTGTTGTTTTTTTTCAGCCTAATGATGGCTTGCTTCACTGATAGTGACAACTCTTTGGGATCTCATCTTGAGAGTTGACAGCAACAGATTCCAAATGCAAATTGCACACTTGAAATGAACTCTGGACCTTTTATCTGCTCACTGTAATTGGGACAATGAGGGAATAACACACCTGGCCATGGAACAGCTGAGAAGCCAATTGTCCCATTACTTTTGGCCCCTTAACAAGTGGGAGGCACATATACAAACAGTTGTAATTCCTACACCGTTCACCTGATTTGGATGTAAATGCCCGCAAATTAAAGCTGGCCGTCTGCAGTTAAAGCACGTCTTGTTCGTTTCATTTCAAAACCATTGTGGTGGTGTATAGAGCCAAAAATGTTAGAATTGTGTCGATGTCCCAATATTTATGGACCTGACTGTATATATATATATATATATATATATATATATATATATATATATATATACCTGTGTTTGATGTGCGCTTCAAAAGCATGGAAAACGGTACCCATCTACACAAACCCTAAAGAAACCCATGAACATTACATGGCTGTCTTCTGATCCAGCTGGATCTTAACATTTCTGTTTGTGAGGCTCTCAGACACAGTTGAGGCACTTTGAGCAAATAGTAGTTGGGGTACAAAGCCTTGCATGATTGTGGTTTTGCCCATTAACCACTTCCCGTCCGCCCTATAGCAGAAGTACCGTTACAGGGCGGCACGGGTGCGCAAAATCACGTATATACATGTGATTTTTGCATTTCCTGGTAGGGGGCGTGCACTCTCCATACAAGACCAGAATTGACTGATTCCTGCTCTCCATACAAGACCAGAATTGACTGATCCCTGCTCTCCATACCAAGACCGAAATGGACTGATCCCTGCTGTCCATACCAGATCGGAATGGACTGATCCCTGCTGTCCATACCAGACCGGAATTGACTGATCCCTGCTGTCCATACCAGACCGGAATTGACTGATTCCTGCTCTCCATACCAGACCGGAATTGACTGATCCCTGCTCTCCATACCAGACCGGAATTGACTGATCCCTGCTCTCCATACCAGACCAGACTTGACTGATCCTGCTCTCCATACCAGACCAGAATTTGACTGATCCCTGCTCTCCATACCAGACCAGAATTGACTGATCCCTGCTCTCCATACCAGACCAGAATTGACTGATCCCTGCTATCCATACAACACCATAATTTTTGCTGGGTTGTCCTGTTTATTCACCTGCTGGGTTGGTTGGTACCAGAAGGTGAGTGGCCGTGTATGCTTCTGAGCACCTCTGTGTATTTATGTCAAAAACAAATTTGTAAAACCAACCTCCACTCTTGGGAGATCGATTTTTCCAGTGCTCACTGCCGAAGGAACCTCGCAAGATCTGGAGGAACCTGGGCTTCCATGGAACCCTTGTAAAGAAAGCTTCCTCTCTCAGAAGATCAATGATCTTCTGAATTCCCTGGCACTCCTTTCGTGGTTACATATTGCTTCATAGATGATTCTGTGACCATGCTTTGTCAAGACTCTGTCTCCTTTACATGAATCCTACAGAAGGGTGGTTTCTGCATTCTGTTTGGGACACAGCATTTGCCTGAGCCCGTTGAATGCAACTGGGGAGGTGACTGCTGCTAAACAGTCATGCCTCAGTGCTTCCAGGTCAGAGGTCACATAGCAGTGTCACAGTTGGACTTGACCATTGCCATAATTCTCCTGTCACTAGATCCATCTGTTAGCATAGTTCCCACCACATAAATCTCATCTGATGAGTCCTAGAGAATTCCTCAGCATTTTGTTGTTGGTTTATTGTGCGGTGGAGTTGTCCTTGCAGTATGTTAGGTAAAGAGGCCAGTCTGCAGCCTCTCCTCTGCCTTTTGTACCCCCACCATTCCTGCTATATAACATAACAATACTCACTTTGTCTGTGCTCCTCTCCCTCCATCTGCTTTTCATTCTGACCCCAACGGAATTGGGGATTTGCCGAACTGACAAACTTCTGACCTCGCATGCCAATCTGAATTAAGAAGTATCATCTCTATGAGTCTAGTATCTGCCAGGACTGTTCAGGTGATGTTCATCTTTGACACCTATGACACAGAACTGCACCAAAATTAGTGAGAAAGGTCTACAGCCCATTAAGTTTCATGTTGCAGTTCTTTGGTTATGTGATGTGATCAGTAGCTGGGGACAAGATAGGTAATTCACATTTCAGAAACCTATACTTACCCGATGGGTGAGGCCTTCTACTTACAATCCTGATGGTGATGGACTTGGGTTAAAATAGTCATGATAGCCTATAAGCCCAACTCTGGGAAACATGAAAATTCTCCCTTGCAGTGAGGCTGTACCTGCACTGCAAGGGTTAACTGCTTGTTTAGGTCTAGGGGGGCATAGAAAAGAAGGTTTACACACCCGATCCTCAATGCCTCCATGCTGTTAAGCTGTCCCTGCAGCATCTTCTCCCCCCATGCTCCAGTGGACCAAGGTCCTGATGTCATTAAGACCATCGCAGGAACCATTGCCCTACATAGGACATGATGACGCCGAAGGACAGTCCACCGCCAGGACTGGTTTTTGGGGGGGGATTTTTGGGAAGCGTTTTTACCGCTTCCCAAAAACCTCAGACAATTCTGCCCATTGCAGCACATGGTGCTTTTCTAACGGGACCGGTAGCGTCGCGGTGCGGCAAAACGGACGCCTCTGGTCAAGTCAGGAGGCGTTGAAGTCTCCTATTCTAGTCTATGGTGCCGCTCCGCAAACGCCCGGCTGGCGTTTGTGGTGTGGTTGCGACGTGGTTGCGGGGTGTTTGCGGAGCGGTAACACCATCCAAATTTCATTATAGGCGTTTGTGGGGCGTTTTTAACGCTCGGCAAATGCCTAGCAACCGCCGCTGAACCGCACATGCAGCGTTTGCCGAGCATTAAAAAAAGCTCCGCAAACGCCAGACCAACGCTTGCCAAACGCTATAGGGGCGTTTGGCAAGAGTTGGTAAAACAGTCAAGTGTGAACGAGCCCTTACTCCTTCAGGGGAGAGTCCTGTGCCCCCTCCCCCACCGCCATCAATCCTGCCAATGCTTGAGCACTGGATTGGAGGGATGATAGGGAAAATGGGTCACAGGAGAACTGGGTCACACAGATTATTATAACTAATCTCATCAATGTTTGTAAATATTTCCATGTACATATTGCAGTTAATATATAAATGTACACTGGGGAATATTGTTAATTACATATTCAGGTTCTGCTTCCTCCTTAGTAGTGCTGCACAATAGATGTGTCTTGCTGATTTTTTTTTTCTTTTTTTTTTCATATCACTAAAAGTCAGACAGACAGAATCTATCTGTATGAGAACAAACTTTCTGCAGTCTTTAACAATGCTCCAGATCGCTGGAGACCACGTGGTCTTTGTGTAGGTTTTAGGTCACATTAGGGAACTTATGTTAGCCGTACAGTTGACTGAAATTTGAGCCGCAGGTGACCCTTTTGGCATTGCCATTGAAAATCAAGGGAGATGGGTGGAAAATTCTTGGCAGAACAGTGACTGCAGACAATCAGATTCAAGGTCAGTATACACAAGGAATCGCATGTTGCATGTTCCTGTGCACTTCACATGGGATGCAATTTAAGACCATTCATTTTGTATGGGCTGAACCATGCTTGACCACTACTTGGAAAAAAAGCGCACTACAACTGGATTGCATGGTACTTCTGGTGCAGGCAAACAGTGCATTTGTGACCTGCGTTTGGGGCATCGTTAACATTGACACCCACTGCAGATCGCAACTGCAGTGCAATTTGAAGTCAGTGCGGGAAACGTGCAGGGAACGCGGGTTCACGCGTTTTGGTGTGACCAGGCCTTAGTAGCTGTTCAGGAGCAATGGTTGTTAGAATACAGTAGTCCACAAGAAAGATTTCTCCACCGTTGGCAAAGTACAGTTTTTATATTGTTGTTTGAGTTTGTCTTATTGGTAGCAAACGTTTATTTCTGTTTTGGTTATTATGTTGTCTACTTATTTTGCAGTGTATTCCACATTCTAGATTGTATTTGTGTCATTTTAAGAAGACATTAGAGTATTATACCTGTTCAGCTTACGCTTCTTTTATTCTTCCTTCTTGCAGCAATTGAGACTCAGAGCACCAGTTCAGAAGAATTGTCCCCAGCCCTCCCTCACCACCTCCCCTCCCCAGGATCTATAAACCTTGTTTTGTGTGTCAAGACAAGAGCTCCGGTTACCACTATGGGGTCAGCGCCTGTGAAGGCTGTAAGGTAAGTCTTCCGCAGTTGTACCTGTGTACCTGGTGTTTAAAGGGATGTTGGGGAGGGCAGGAAGGGGTTAAACTTACTTTAATATATGTGTTCTTTTAAGGGCCCTTTCACACTCAAATGCAGTGCAGGAAAGCTGCGGTTTGCTGCGGGTGTCAGTGCAAAGTCAGTGACACCTCAAGTGCAGGGCACAGACGCAGTGCATTTGCACGCACCAGATTGCATGGTACAAAAGTACATACCATGTAATTTGGTTGCCATGTGTTTCAAAAAATAGTGCATGCCCTACTTTTGGTGCAGTGAGATTTCAGATGATTCCAAATGAATGGGGCTGGAATTGAACTGCATGTGACGCAGTGCGGTTCCTGTGCAAGTCACATGCAGTTTCTAGTGTGAAAGGGCCCAAAAAGTCATTTTTTTTTCCGTAATTAAAATTTTTAAAAACTTGAATGCTTTATTTTTTTGTGTTTTTTTTTAAATTTCTTTCCTTTAGTTTTCTTTTACTTGTTCTCTGGCTGAACCACTATATTCCCTATCCCGGTGCTTCCAGATCCTGTGTGAGTCTCCGCTACTGCTCTGTGCTACAACTCTATGTGCAGCCATTCATAGCCCCACACACATAAGACACATGAGAGGGATACAGAGCAAAAGCCATGCCTCTCCTCTTCCTCTGCACTGGTGATTGACAGCGGTCCCTCTCACACTAGCGCTGTGCATGGTGCTCTGACTACATGGAGTTGTAGCACTGATCAGGAGCGAACGTGGTGAGGAGGCTCATCCATTGGTCCTGGTGACACAGGGGACACAGAGGAAGCAGGAATATAGTGGCATGGCCAGGGGACAATTGAAAAATGAAGCTCAGAGGAGGAAATGAAAAACAGAAAATGAAACTCATGTGAGTTATGTTATTTTTAACTGATTTAGGAAAATATGGGGGGGGGGAATCACTTTAGGTGTATTTAAACCCAAAGCCCAAAATGTAACTTATTGCAGTTTACCAGTCCTGAGATATGGTGGATAAATTTGTTTACTTTTTTTAAGGCTTTTTCCCTTCATTTTCACCTGATAATCCTGTGAACAACACTTTTCCTGTCCTGGTGGCTATGCTCACTCCTCCACTGTATCTGTGGAGGCAGCCATGGTTGTCACCCTGGCTGGATATTAACCGCTTCCCTGCCGCCTAATAATAGAACTACTGCTACAGGGCAGCAGGGTTGCGCAAAATCACATATATATATATACGTGATTTGCTTTTCTGGGTAGGGGGTATGCGCCGCCCTACCCGATGTCAATCACCAGGTCTCGGCCAGAGATTCCCCACCGGCATCCGGCGATCACGGAGTAAAACTGACGGGAGAGACCTGTGTGTAATCAACACAGGTCTCCCCTTCCAGCAAGTACATGCTGCTGTGTATTTCTCTGCTGTGCAGAGAAATACACAGCAGTATGTTTTCCTAGTAAAACGCACACAGCACATAATGTAAAACAGCACACAGTTTACCCTTTGATTGCCCCAGATGTTAACCCCTTCCTGCCCAGTGTCATTAGTACAGTGTCAGTTCTTTTTATTAGCACTGATCACTGTGTTAGTGTCATTGTGATGTCGGTGGCAGTTAGTCAGTTCCCCCCGGTGTCAGAATGCCCACCACAGTCCCACATTCCTGCTATAAGTCGCTGATCACCGCCATTACTAGTATTAAACAAAATTCCAGTATATATACCGCCATTTGTAGACGCTATAACTTTTACATAAACCAATTAATTTACACTTATTGGGATTTTTTTTGGCCTAAATTTATGACGAAATTAGATTTTTTCACTGGATATGTTTTATAACAAAAAGTCTAAAATATTGGGGGGTTTGAATTGTTTTTTTTTTTTTTTTCAAAATTGTCAGTCTTTTTTTGTTTATAGAGTAAAAAGTAAAAAATGCACAGGCGATCAAATACCACCAAAAGAAAGCTCCATTTGTGGGGAACAAAAGGACGTAAATTTCATTTGGGTACAGCGTTGCATGACCGCACAATTGTCAGTTAAAGTAACGCAGCGCCGTATCGCAACAAAATGGCCTGGTCAGGAAGGGGGGTAAATCCTCTGGAGGGCAAGTGGTTAAACATATCTGCCTTTATAAATCTTCATTACATGGGAGACTGGAGGATTAGTTGTTTATAAAAGGAAGATAGGATTGTTTTATGCTACCAGTGCAACTCACAGGAAGTAATCAGCAAACTGCATTCATGGCTAAATCAGCATGTATGTTCTGTGCTGAAAATGTTTTTTGCCTGAAAAAAAAAGAAAACAAATGCGGCCACCACATCGAAGGACTGGTGCGCTGCATTATATTACTTGTATGTTTTTTAGTTATTCATTGACTTTGCCTGAGCCTAGTACTCTAGTAAGTGTATTATGGTTCATCCATCTTCAGAAGTCTTACAGAATAACAAAAAATGTCTTCCATCTGCTTTTCTCTCCAGAAGGATAGTGCAGTCTTTGTTTAACTATCATCGAGTTAGCATATACTGTACTTCCTGGGCAGTCATGTAGATCCTGGTTCCTGGCCTGTTTTTCCCAAATGTCTTACACTGATCAGCCCCTGTTGCAGCCTCACACTGTGTAACTTGCTACTTATGCAGTTTGAAAGTTGATTCAAACTGGGTGAAATTTGACTGCATATGGCCAGCATTGGACTTATTTTGCCATTGATCTGGTTTTAAACAATATTTCTGTAGTGACATAGACTGAAAGACCTCATTCCTAATGCTGTGTGTGTCTTCTCTGCCTGATATGAATGATTCTTATGTAAATGATACCCTGTGGTCATTGCTTGTGGCATCTCTCCCTGCAGGGTTTTTTCCGGCGCAGCATACAGAAAAACATGGTGTACACATGTCACCGGGACAAGAACTGCATTATAAACAAGGTGACGAGGAACCGATGCCAGTACTGCCGGTTACAGAAATGCTTTGAGGTTGGCATGTCCAAAGAATGTAAGTGTCCTGTATATGGCTTTTATACTGGGATTTGTATTTTACAGTTAGGATGTATTATTTTTATTTATGCAGCCATCTATCTCATTTACCTGAAATGTAACAGTATTTTTTTTTTAAAAGCGAAACGAAACCCTCCTATCCGCCAAGGTGCCATCTTATCTGCAGTTTAGATCTGCCTTTGCCATAGTGCTGTAACAGGGCCAGCAGGTCTATTCACTCATTAGTTTCTTATCTCTCCTGTGGACATGGAAGTGCGGATAGACGTTAGAGAATGGTGTCACGATCTGACCATATTTGGCTGTATTGGACACATCACCGTTTGTTGGACAGCTGCAAGCATTTCTGTACAGCAGGTTTCAGAGGAGAAAGCAATTGGACTGATTAGAAAATTCCCGGTTGGTATTGGTAGCCTCTATAGACCGGGCATTCATGCCTCTGTGTCAACTGAAAGGTTCATGTTTTCCGCTGATGTTTTGCCAGAAGATATTGCAAGTGTTCACCTTTGGACATTGGGATCTTTGCACTGGAGTTCCCAGCTCCACCCACCTACCTTGGTTAGACATTGAGATCTGTGCACTGGAGTTCCTAGCTCCACCCACCTGCCTTGGCCAATGAGAACTTTGCTTTGGAGTTCCTAGCTTCAAGCACCTGCCTTGGCCATTGGTACATTTCTACTGTAGTTACCAGCTCCATCCACCTGCCTTAGCCATTGGTACTTTTCCACTGGAGTTACCAGCTCCATCCACCTGCCTTAGCCATTGGTACTTTTCCACTGGAGTTACCAGCTCCATCCACCTGCCTTAGCCAGTGAGATCTTTACACTGGAATTTCCCAACTCCACTCATGTGCCTTGGCAATTGTGAGTGCGGCTAGATGCTTGTTAGGCTTTTTTAAATGATAAGGATGGAACAAAAGAAGTGTAATTTTAAAAGGTGGGACCTGCAGTGCCCCACTCATAATTCACTCTTTAATGAATAATAAATGAAACAATGCTTCCAATTCACAGAGGATGTACCCTTAGTAGTATATGTATGTATATGTGTGTGTGTGTATAAAAGTTCAGAAACTCTTTGAAGGATATATATATATATATATATATATATATATATATATATATATATATATATATATATATAGTCTTCAAAGAGTTTACATATATGTATGTATATATATATATATATATATATATATGTATGTGTGTGTGTGTGTTATTTATTTATTTATTATATATATATATATATATATATATATATATATATATATATATATATATATACATATATATATATATATACACACACATACACACCATATTGCCAAAAGTAATGGGACGCCTGCCTTTACACACACATGAACTTTAATGGCATCCCAGTCTTAGTCTGTAGGGTTCAATATTGAGCTGGCCCCGCCCTTTGGAGCTATAACAGCTTCAACTCTTCTGGGAAGGTTGTCCACAAGGTTTAGGAGGGTGTCTATGGGAAGGTTTGACCATTCTTCCAGAAGCACATTTGTGAGGTCAGGCACTGATGTCGGACGATAAGGCCTGGCTCACAATCTCCGCTCTTCATCCCAAAGGAGTTCTATGGGGTTGAGGTCAGGCCTTGGGGTGGAGGAACTTTAATGTCTTGCACAAACTTGCTCATCCATGTCTTTATGGACCTTGCTTTGTGCACTGGTGTGCAGTCATGTTGGAACAGGAAGGGGCCATCCCTAAACTGTTCCTACAAAGTTGGGAGCATGAAATTATCCAAAATGTTTTGGTATACTGATGCCTTAAGAGTTCCCTTCACTGGAACTAGGGGGCCAAGCCCAACCCCTGAAAAAAAAAACCCCACACCATAATCCTCCCTCCACCAAACTTTACACTTGGCACAATGCAGTCAGGCAAGTAACGTTCTCCTGGCAACCGCCAAACCCAGACATGTCCATCGGATTGCCAGACAGAAAAGCGCGATTGGTCACTCCAGAGGCGGAGTGCTTTACACCACGGCATCCGACACTTTGCATTGCACTTGGTGATGTAAGGCTTGGATGCAGCTGCTCGGCCATGGAAACCCATTCCATGAAGTCTCTATGCACTGTTGTTGTGCTAATCTGAAGGCCACACCAAGTTTGGAGGTTTTTAGCTATTGACTCTGCAGACAGTTGGCGACTTCTGTGCACTTCAGCATGTGCTGACCTCGCTCTGTCAGTTTTCGTGGCCTACCACTTGGTTGCTGAGTTGCTGTTGCCCCCAGTTGCTTCCACTGTTATAATAACCACTAACAGTTGACCGTGGAATATATAGTAGCCAGGAAATTTCACAGCTGGACTTATTGCACAGGTGGCAACCCATTCTTTCACAGATGTTTGTAGAAGCAGTCTGCATGCCTAGGGCTTGATTTTATACACCCGTGGCCAAGGAGGTGATTGGAACACCTGAATCCAATGATTTGGAGGGGCTTCCCAATGCTTTTGGCAGTATAATGTGTGTATGTATTTATTTATATATATATATATATATATATATATATATATATATAGTGCTTTAAGGATGAAGGAAGCAAAGTTCATACGCTGTACAAGTACCCTGTTATTATTTGCTGCCTGTTTCCCACTGGGGAGATTTCCCTTTACTTCTGTTTTGGCGATTCAGTACTAAATGAAAATTCTCATATCAGAGAATTGTCCCCATTGGAAGATTTTCCCACACCACTTGGTAAGCAGGAGAAATAGAGCGAGACTCTGTCCCCAGTACAGGGACATGGCAATAAAAACTTGACAATAGATTCCGTACACTATAAGGAATGTAAAAATAAATGCCTTCACTTTTACTTCCAGAATCCTTCGCACAGCAGAAATTCAAATATAAATGCTAACATGGCTACCCAACATGTTTCACACCCTAGGAGGAGTAAATTGTGTTTAGGAGGCAGGGGCGGACTGGCCATTTGGAAACTCGGGCACTGCCCAAGGGCCTGAGGTCAGTAGGGGGCCCCATGAGATGAGTACCTTTTTCATAGGCTTTTTTTGAGTTTGGGCAAGGACACAGGGGCCCCATGATCCCCTATTGCCCCGGGGGCCCCATGAGTTGTCAGTCCGCCCCTGTTAGGAGGGCATATTTAAAAAAAGAAAGGAGCACATAGTTGTGACTATCCTCAATTATCAACCACTGAGCTAGCTAAAGGTGGAAAGGTTTCACCTGATCCTGGAGACTAGATAGTGGTTCCAACCCTCTTTGTTTTTTGTTATATCAGACGTTTGTGAAACTTTCTAGGGTAAAACAGAAGTACAAATGGTTGAGGTAAACCGCTTTAGATAGATGTGCTCTGTGTGCGTAACTAGAGTTCTACTTTAAAATCTTTGGCTGGTGTCCATATCTTAAAGTTGATAAATCTCAGTTTGCCTTGGCTGTACCATCTGGTTACAAGATAACCTGCAGTGATCCCAACTTAGGGTTCATACTCACGAATCTCTTGGCATTGTACCTGAAACTATCGGAGTACTCTTGCATTTCCCAGATGCTCCATGGGGTTAATTCTCTGTTCTTTTTTTACAGTACGGTTATGTCACACTAGGGAATCTGTCATTGGTGAGGTCGCTCCCTAGCTGCTAAAACCACCAAGGTGTAGCCAACCATGGAGCAACTTCTATTTGGGAAAGAGGCAGTTGAATGCCAGTGATTCTGCCAAGGGCAACACAGCCATAAATCATTGTTAACCACTAGTGGGAGCTCTCGTTGGATCAATGAAATGATCTTTCTCTCTTTTAACAACTGTTGAGATTTGATATCAGCCACACAGGGAGTGCATTATTTTAATGACTCAGCTGACTCATTGACTTGTATTGTGAGAATAAGCAGTACAGTGCAACCATTGTGTAGTACTAGAAAGCAGGAAGAATATCTTGGGTATGTAATGAGCAAATTTGGATACCACATACATATTTAAATTACAGATTATACGTAAAAACGTACCCTTTTATAGCTGACCTCCTTTACATATTTATCTAAAGAAAAATAATTGAAAAAGTTATATGTTCTCATTAACATTTTGCTGACCGCTTAAAATATGCAGCATCAAGAAAACTACAAAATGCACACACACTGAGTCCCTGTTGCATGAATGTGAATAAAATGAGTAAAAGATGGCCTCTACCATTTAAGCCCTAAAAAAGGCGAAATGCGTCAGATGAAATTTCTACAGGGGGAGAACAGGAGCCGAAGCCATGATGTTTGTGTACGCTCACTGCGAGCTCCCAGCATGCTGACTGAGCTGTCACCAACAGCGATTGGTCAAGGCTCCTGATGAAGATACAACAGAAACAGCTGCCAATCATTTGATCTCTGTGAGAGCCAATCACAGCGATCACATGATACAGAAGTTATAGCTGAACTGCAAGCAGACATAAAAACACCAGTTAATACAGGTGTGTTCAGTATTTCTGAATAAAATAACATATTCCTACGTGCATATATGTTAGTACCTGAACTATTCTTGGTATAGGGATCTGGGAGGGGAGGTTTACAACTTAAAGACAGGATGATGAGGAAGAGAGAATGAACAGGGGGATGAACTCCTCGGTCTGCTGCCGATCCTTTATTGTCCAATCACTGGCTGAGGGAACGGAGATGTAGCTCATCTGTAAGCTCTTCTGCAACCCTTCTCCCCACATAAACATCCAATTCTGCCTAATGGGAAACTTCTCCAGACAATATGCAGAGCCCATGGCTTTTGTGCAACACAACACACCAAATGTAGGCAACCTCAGCACTCTAGCTGTGGTGAAGATCCTATTGTGCCTGTGGGTGGCATACCTGTGGCTGTCAGCAGGGCTGTGGATAAGGGGATACCACCAGTCCTCCTGTACAGGGCCCAGGTCAGCAGGGGGGCCAATGCAGCCGGGTGAATTGGATGTGGGCAGGGAGGGGTGATCGCATGATGGGGGGGGGGGGGGGCAATTACTGGAACCGCTCCCCTGTATGGCTCTTTCTGCAGCAGCTAAAAGTTTCTTCTTCT